AATCGAAGGATTGACGGTTCAAGCCCCGACTCCGACTTTCAGTGTCGTTGTGTCCTTGGGCAAGACACTTCACCTGCATTGTCTACTGAAGGTGGTCAGAGGGCCCGGTGGCGCCAGTGTACCGCAGCCCCGCTTCTGTCAGTGAGCCCCAGGGCAGCTGTGGCTACAATGTAGCTTGCCACCATCAGTGTGTGAGTGTGTGGGTGAATGAATGTAGTGTAAAGCGCTTTGGTCAGGTTACCTGACTTGAAAAAAGGCGCTATATAAGTACAGGCCAATAACGTAGTGGTGAAGCTCCTAATATAGGATCCAACAGCTGCTGTAGCCGCTCTAGAATCGTTAGTGATTAAAACAATTTCTTTCTCAGGTGACATTATATAAGTGAAATTAAATCTGTGACAACATTTTGCAATTTCAAAGTATTTTCAACAACAAACTCACTTATCTATGACACATTGGCAGTGCCCAGTTGCCAAAACCAGTTAATCTTACCACATGTAAATCTTTCACACCAGAAACTAGCAACATCATGGTGTATCACAGTAAGGTCAGGGAAAAACATCAACAAAAAGGTTATGAAGATCTAATCGGGGATCAGAACAGCCACCATGTTGAAATCTAAGAATCAGAAGTATTGGCCTCCAAGGCTGCAAAGACCAAAAATGATGCAGAATTTTAGCATTTGAGTCTGAATCCCAAACCACTCCCTAACCTCTAACACATAACTATCAACTGCCACTCCCAATAAAATATATAAAAAGTATTTTGGACATTAATATATTTAATTGTTGGAGGGATGAGTTCAGTAAGCAATTTTACATATTATGTCTTTGAGTGAAATAAAGCAATTTTGTGCAAAAAAATTACATTGTACAGCTGAAAAAATAAGAAATAGTCACGTTTTGGCAAGATAGCAATATTTTGTGGATTTATGTAGATAATTTAAGTGATGAGTGTGTGTTTAATAACATGTGACAATAGGCCTTAGAGTAAAAAAAAAAACAAATTTCATGCACAATTTACATTTTACAGATCAAAAAATGAGCGTTAATCATTTTGACCTTTTTGTGGGTATTTAGGATTATTTTAGTATCCGAGAGGGTGAGATCAGCAAGATGTATTTGATATTATGTCTTAGAGTGATTTTAGGAAAAGCATTTTAATATTCATATAATAATCATCTCTCTGGTGAGTTAAGGTGTCTTATTTTCTCTAATCAAGAAATGTATTAAGTATGGGAAGTTCAAATCAAGATATGAAAAAAAAAATTGATATTAAATCATTTATGAAGTTACATCCAACACATCATAGTTATGTTACAGAATAGTATTGGATTTAAGCAAACTTACTGCAGAAACTTCGTCCAATCTAAAACACAGAGAAACACACTTGAAACAACACAGGGAGACTGTGTCTTTCTCTGTTTTAGATTGTCAAATCAAACCCTATTAACACCAGTAAAACTGTTATATTTTACTGACCAAGGTAACAGCAGATTATTGTCTTAATTACCTTTCTCCTCCTCTTCTCCCCATCAAAGGCTCCATTTCTCATGTTTGTCCTCCTAAACATCTGCATATTCTAAACGCAGTTTAGCAATAAAAGTAAACTTTAGAAGACGTATCTGCACTAAGTTTGCTTAGATTTAAAACTATTCTGTCACGTTATTGTACTGCGATGGATGTAACTCAATAGACTATTCAAAACAAAACGATTTCATCATTTTTTTGTTTTTCACAGAGGAAATTATTTCATTTAATTATTTTTGATTAGAAATGCAAGTATAGATAGTGTACAGTAAAAATGCCAAACTTCATGGAAGAATCTAAGCTCATTATTCTTGATATGAACACCCCATACTAAATAAATTCCTTTAATGGAGAAAATAAGACACCTAAACTTGACCAACAGTGATGGATGATTATATGAATAGTATAATGTAATTCCTTCCTAAAATCACTCAAATCACTTAAATACATCTTGCTGATCTCACCCCTCCAGCCTTAAAATAATTGACAAAAGATACTTATATAAAATATTCTAATAACCAAAAAGTGATAATTGCTTATTTATTGACCTGTAAAAGGCAGGTTTTGCCTAGAATTTCTTTATTCCACTCTAAGGCATACTATTTAACTTATCACACTGAACTCACCAAGCCCAACACTATCATAATCCACAAAATAAAAAAATTATGACTATATAACTTGCCATTTTTTTTACCTATACAATGTAATTTTGGCATAAAATTGCTTTATTTCACTCTAAGACATAATATGTAATATATCTTAAATATCATACCCCCTCCAATATTAAAAAAATACACAAAATCTGACTATATTACCTGCTGAATTCAATTCATTTCAATGCAATTCAATTATACTTAATCCCCCAAGAGAAATGCAATAAAAGAGTGGGGGGAGGGTTGGTAGTAATTTCTGAGGCCTTGCTGCCATTACAGATCTTACCCTCTCCAACATCAAAATAATACACACAATTTGACTATATTACTTGCCAAAAAGTGAGTAATGCTTATAAACTGACCCGAAAAAATTCATTTTTGCATGAAATTGCTTTATTCCACTGTAAGGCATGTCATATGTTTTACTAAGCTCCTTACTCCATTGCTGAAACAATTGATTAAACTTGTGTAATTGTAGTGGGGAAAAGGTATGCAACTATTCACCCTAGTTAAATAAACAGAGATGGATGGATTTCACTCAGTCTGCACATTTATTCATATCTTTGCAAAGAGAAAACAGTTCATTATTCAGCCCTAATGGCAGAGCATTCTGCCCTGTTCTGATCTGGGCAGCGTTGGTTCCCCCTCACTTACAACAATGGAAAAGTAGTCAGAGTCAAAACAAATTACAGACACTTTGGTTAAACAGTAACATGTCATGAATAAACCTTGAGAAAGAATCTGGTCTGTTATGGGAAGAAGCTATGTCTGGTCTACAAACAACATCCTGCAGAGAATGGTGTGGCCTTCAAGGTGAAACAGACTGAGTGAAAACTTTTGTAGTGAGTAAATAGGATACCGGTAAATTAATATATAATAGAAGAGAAACCTATATTTTCAGACAACAGTGAACCCTTTCGATTATAAAAGGATATTATTCTTGCGTAATCGACATTAAAAAAGGAAAATTAATGAATAAAAAAACTAAAAACTAAAATTGTGAATACCCTATATGCAAAGAAAGCTAAAAACTATGAAACCCAAATAAAAATAATACAAAAAAATATCAAAATGCACACTTGCAATCAAGCCAGTGGACAATGTTAAATGATTATAATAGATGGAAAAATCCTGGAAAAGATTATGATAGCTAAAATATGTTGCCAATAAATAGAGCCCTGGAATCACATCCTAGTTGGCAAAAACATTGAACTGTTTTTCCCCATGATGATACTTTTCATGGGAAAAGATCCATTTGCTGAGAATTTTAATTTTTAGTTCTTATCATTATGAGTTACCCTTTTTTTTTCTTTTAGATTGTCTGGAAATATCAGCGAAAACATGGAAAAAGATCATCTGTAACTTAAATGAAACCATATAGAGAAGCACATAATTTATGATCCATTAAGCTTTTATTTCTGCTTGGTTCATCAGTCTAGAAGTGATTACAAAAATGGAAAACATCTTAGTCAAAAAATAATGCCGTAAAAAACAAACAAACAAAAAGAACATCTCTATAATATAGACAGAAGTTTACCTTATTCATAGCAGGTTAATAAAACATCATCAAACTATTAGAAATTGATCTAAGAAAATGTATACTTTAAAACAATCTTTACAAAGCAGACAAATTACATTTTTAAATGAGTGTCAGACTTTTTTAATACATAATTAACCCAAAATGCTTTTTATCAAGTTAAAGCAGGTTCAGACTGATCAGTAAATATCTTAACTTTAAACCAAATAAGAGAAATAACCTTGTTAAACTCTTCAAACAAGCATGTTTAATTATTCAGTTAAACAGAAGTACAGTCTCCAGCCTATAAACTAAATTCTTTGGTGTCTCATAGTTCAACTATTTAGCAGGTTTACAATATTACATCTTATCCATTCTAGTTTCTATGTAAACATTAGATTACAGCTGTTAATGGTTTTCTCCAAATGTAGCTAGAAAAAGGCATTTAACCTGTGAGTTTTCCATAGAAAGAGGTGAAGGAGTTTCTAGATGGACATTTTATCACATTGTAACTAGGGCTGTCAAAATTAACGCGAGATGATTAATTTCGGTCTATGGTGACCGAGACAGAAAGGTCCATAAAAGTCCACAAAAAACGTGTCAATATTCCTCCAGACTGCTTGTCCAATGTATTCCAAGTGTCCTGAGTGGGTAGAGTCCATAATCTACTCGAAACGAAGTCATTTAGAATGTTTTTAGAGCATAAACAGTAGTGTATAGGATTTCCTAAAAGCGTGTTCACGACGCTACGGAAACCGCGGCAGACCAAACCAGAAGAAAGTGCGCATTTAGCGTCTGCTCTGCCGATAATGCAAGCGTAGAAGAAGAAATGTGCTGTTTACCTGTGCAAAGAAAGAAACAACGAAAGAAAAATGTCTGAGGACT